CGTTCAGTGCATACATATATAATATATATATATATACTGGCTAGTGGCTATACTTGTTTTAAGCACGTGTGTATTTTATAACGTTATGATTTTTTTTTTATCCGAACACCAAGACGACGCTCTGACGAGCTATGTGACGTTTTTATCGCACTTTTTTGGGGTCTATTCAATTTTTTTAGATTCGTTATCGAACACCGGAGAATTGTATTAATTAGTAAAGTGTGCATTCTGCACACACTACACAATAATATATGAAGACGGCTAAAAAACGCTTTGCCCAACGTGTGGACGTCTTCATCGACGGACATCATCATTTAGTATGATTATTATTATCATCGTCATCATCATCATACGTGTGCACGGATGTATTATGATAATATAATATAATGATTGAGTGTATTACTATACATAAATGTATATATATATATATATATATATATATATATATATAGTGTTGCGGTTGTATGTGTTAAAACAGCCTGGAAACTTTCCGAGGCACATAAAAACACGAAATTTATGGCCACGCAGTACGGGTTATTATAATATCGGGCCATTATAATATTTTTCTACCAATCTCGGAGTAGGAGAACGGTTTTCGAAATTTATGCTTGGCGAGAACCAGTTTTTTTCCATCTCTTTTTTTCCGTACCATTCATAATGCGCGAACGTGTAATTTATTTTGTTTATAGAACAACCTAAAAAAAAAAAAAAAACCCGTTCCAGATGTCCTCGTTCGATAAAATATTAAAATAATGACATCCCTCCCCGACACCCCCTCGCCAGCTGTCTACATTTCCTATCTATGTGCACACGTAATAACAACAATTAAGCACGCCTATGTAAATATATATAAATGTATGAATAATATTCTGAAGATGCGAATCCTGCCGAAATATTTATTGCCGCCCGAAATCAAAATCATAATATTGTAATCTCATCCAGTCATCCAGACCTCTGCATTTAAATTCAATTTTATCATTTTAATGCGTTTGAGATGGGATTTACAGGGCAGCTACTAAGCTTATATTATACTTCATTACCTATAAGTAATATGATACATACAATGTTGCAAATATTAATATAATGCCTCCGTGTTTGTTTTATACTTTAAAGCATATTTCAACAAAATAATGTGGTTGTTGCGAGATTATTATTATTATTTTTGTTTATGACGATTGACAAATTACAGTATTTTATTTTCGAATTTAAATATTCAGAGATATTACAATAAAATTATTATTAATATAATTTTAATACCTACTACATTGTGCGATTTTGGAATACGTGATCAAAATGTCACAACTCCCTTTTTAACCACCATTCAATTATTTATTTTAGATATTTTCATTAAAACAACATTATGATCTGCACACCGTAACGTTATTATGATTTAAAATCGAAATACTATATATTTTAGTATTGATATAATATTATTTATGGATACAGAATAATATAAAGAATAACCTTTTTAAAGTTCAAATATCACATACACATATCTTTTTCCTTGATAACAGAAAACATAAGCATAATAAATATATACGAGATTTATAGTAATGTCGATGCTTTTTTAATTATGCATGTATTCCCTTTTTCAATAGATTAATAAAATGATTTTTTGGCATAATACCAATAGGCGTTGTAAATAAATAATATTTTTATTCCGAGAAAATATATACAAATACTGAAATACGACTTCTTTAGAACCAAGTCTGATTCAGTGTTTTCTAAAATAACTATTAGCAAAATTCACATTTTTCAACATAATGCATTAATACGATTATTAATTATTTTTAAGCGTTTATTTATCACGGTGTAAAGATATTCTTCATAAGGTGGAAAACGTTTGTAAATATATATATTTTTAATGTTATATACTAGTTATATACTAGTCTAAATAGGCGTAACAAAGAATGATGTTGATTGTTGAATGTTGGTATAGTATAAATGACGTAGCAATGGAATACAATTTTATTTAATAGTGAAGAAAACCTAATAAGTACCTATTATTATAAAGGATAAAATAAACGTAAATATTATACTTAATATTTACGTTTTCATTAAATAGTAGGTACATACATTTTTTGGTTAATACCTATTAATAAGAACTGTACCTATATAATATATAAATAATATATTTTTGACATCAATGAATTATATTTCAATATATACTTTTGAAGCTCATTATTGGCGAGACAATGTATTAATGGACATAAAAAATATGTACATAAATACCTAATTTATGCCTATATTTTTTATAATAATAAATTATGATACCTAATATACATTCACAAAATATAAAATTACGATCAAATTAAATTTTCAAGTTTTGATCATAATACAATAGGGAAGCATGACGACGTGAAGTATAAAAATAAGTTTATGGAAATAGATTAACCAAAGTCCCGAGGGGGAAAACTCTGCGCAATAGTGGCATATTTACGTTTTAACGCTTATTCGAGTCAGCCTCGAGCCCGGGAGGCATCACGGTGCAGCCTCTACGTGTAGGTACGAACGCTCTCTGAACACGACCTATGATCTTTCGGTAGCATATTATAACAACACTGGTGTACAACTTTCATACGCGAATAGACGTGAAACCACAGCTATAAATAAATCGATTAATAATATACGTTTCCCAACCAGATCCGAAATCATACGTGAACCGTAAGCGCCATTTTGAAACCATGCATATTTATAACTGGCATCTAACTAACCTACCTACCTACCCGAGTGCATTGTAATAATAATAATACGTGTACCCATAAACGTATACGTTATAATAAGTGTAGGTATAATATATGTGTAAAAAAAAAAAATAATAATAATAATAAACGTAGTTCGTTCGAATGAATTTTTTTGTGCATAAACGCGTTTGATAATGTTTAATAATATTAGGTATATATGTTTATGCAGACGGTTTCCCGAATCTGCAGCAGTGGCAATCAATTTACTCAGAGGAGTCTGCCAGTCGACAGGCGGTGAGGTAGTTTGCGGGACAGGGTGTGATTGACATGAATTATCGATCGGTGGACGGTTGGCACTTGTCGGACTTACAAAAATGTCCATCCAAATAACATAAAATAATAATATGTGTGTATGAAATAATAATGAACGCGTACCGCCAGAAACAGATAGAGAAAATGAATAGTCGTAGCCGGATCGTCGCCGACGCCGTCCGAAAAAAAGAAAAAGGGTGGTTCACAATAGAGGTGCTTGAGATGAAACCACCCTAACCAGTCGGTTATTATATTTTATTTACCCGTATATGCGCATTAGACAATAAAAAATGAACATTGGATTTCGTTTGTATTTTTTTTATGATTCCAAGAGGCGTTTATGAAATATTGTCGTGTTATTACTTTGTTTCATTATGGTTTCGTAACATATACATGTCTGTTTCGGATATTTTTGAAAATGGCAATAATTTATACAAAAAGAAACAAACAGAAAACCAAATTTATTATAAGACATCAATTGTAGCGAGTATACCATTAATTCTACGGTTTATATGTTGTTGTTATGTTTTCAATATTTAAAATTGATTTAATACTTTTCTATAGATGAACTTGCTTTTATTGTTCAATGGTGAATACGATTTTAAATTAATCTAACATCCACAACTTAAATATATACAATCGCCAGTTATTGGTATAGATAATAATCAGTTTTTAAATTCATATAATATTATTTATACCTACATCTTTTATAATTTATAAGCTATTGCACAGTTAGTCGCTAATCACTATTAAGTAAATTATTAGGTAAAATACTGGACAAAAATTAGTGACGAGAAATCCCCCCTCCTTTAAGTTAGGCCTAAGTTGGGTTTTTTAATTTTAAACTATATAATTCATGATTTATTAATTGTTATGTATATGTAATATGAGTAAAACGACGATGACAGATTGTGACCGAAAAAATGGATATTATGGGTTTAAAGCTAGTTGTGGATGGTTTTTCCATTTGACGAGCATTTTTCTCCTTTCACATCGACATCAATAATAATTATTGTCTAATATAAATTATAAAATATTTTGAATTTTAATATAATCTAATATAAATAGTTATTATTTATTAACTTTGCAATGATCGTTCTTGAATTTATATCAAATACAACTGTCTGTTTATGAATCTATAATACCTCCCCTCACCATGGTGAATGATGATATCCACCACTGACATGCAATATAGTTATAACTTTTAAGATATTTGCCCTCGTTGAAACGATCTGATTATTATTCATTAATCATTACAAATTAATTAATGATGAATATTATTATGTGGTTTCCATAAATTTAATAAGCGATAAAATGTGCAGCCAGTAATGCCAATAAAAATTCATTTTCACTCAAAAAATAAGTAAATTTGACAAACTCTCAAAGACTCGGTTAATTAACAAATCATATGATAGTATAATATCCCTACAGAGTGTTTTAATTATAAAATACTAAAAATAAATGAAATAAATGCAATACATTTCGTAGGTACATGAAGTCTACCACATTTTTTTCCAGCGCATGTCATAACTTAATCATACAGAATGGCATTATCTCAGTCCTGTTTTTTTTTAATCTAGGTAAATGTGATTATTTAAAAATTAAATTACTATGTTTAATGGAACTGAATGCAAAATAGAGCTTGGCTCTTATCAGTATGTAATACATTCAAAAATATAAAATTACAAAAAGTAAAATGTTGTTATAAAATAGATCATTCAGATACTCAAAAAATGAAAACGACAATAATAATAATATGATTTGAGTTTGGGACTAGATAATACTAGCCCATGTAACGTGAGGGTGGGTGTAACACGGGAAAAGAAGGAAATAATGATCCACATATAGGTACTGACAAGTGACACAGAGACAGATGATAAATTATGGTTCATAAGTAAACCTATTTATTGTCATATTTATACGATTACACGAGTGATACGAGGGTGGAAATTGGCGGCATAAAATACTTTAAAATTATTACGATATATTATAGAGATTGCTTACCGGTATGAGTGCGTTTGTGGATTTTGAGATTCTCTGACCGGGCGAACACCTTGCCACACCCCTGGAACGGGCACGGAAACGGTTTTTCACCGGTGTGCACCCTGATGTGGTTGACCAGCTTGTACTTGGCCTTGAACGGCCGGCCCTTGCGCTCGCACCCGTGCCAAAAACACGCATGCGTCGTGCACTCGGGCCCACCGACATGTTCGACAGTTATGTGCGATACGATGTCCTGCATGGACCCGAACATCTTGCCACACGTGCGCATCGGCGGCCCGGGCTTGTCGATCCACAGGCACGACATGTCTTTGAGCGCGGCGGCCGCCACCGGGCCGTGTCTGGTGTACCGGTAAAACGCGCCACCCGGGTGACCGCCCCCGCAGCCGTACGGGTCTTGGCCGCCGTAATCGTTGTGCCGGTGCGCGGATGGCTGCAGCGACGGCTGGTGCGGCGGCGGCGGGTACGCCTGTCCGTGGTGCAGCTGCAAGTCGTGGTGCACTGCCCCCGGGTACAGGCCGCTCATGTGATGATCTCCGCCGTGCTGGTGATGGTGGTGATGGTGGTGATGGCCGTGGTGGTGGTAGTCGGCCACGTCACGGCGGATGTGCAAAAAGTCCCTCGGACCCGGGTAGCCCGGATGGTGCGCAGACGGCGGAGCAGGCGGCGGCGGCGGTGGTGGTGGCGGTGCCTGCTGCTGCCCGTAATGCATCTGATGATAGTGGTCCTGGGACGCGGCCATATAGTCTTCCTCGACCTTGACGCCCATGCCGTTGACCAGAGGCGCGTTTTCCATAAACGGGTTTAACATAACGCGGTCGTCATTTACGCGTCACACCCTCGGATGTTATATATTATAAATGGTTCCCGTATGATATATATAATAGTACAACAATACCGGAATCGGGGTGGTATTTAGGCGAAGGTCGCGATGTACGGATGATGATACGGCGAAAAGACACAATGACGAATGTATAATAATAATATACCTAACAATATTATACAATAGTGGGTGCACGGGAGGATCGCATATCGACGCGGCGACAAGAGCTGATACAATTATTTACAACGTCGTTCTCAGCGGCACGGCAGCATCACTCGCGAAAAATCGGGCACACGTAAATAAACGAGAAAAATAATAAAAATTATCAATACGGAAAAATTAAAAACAAACAAAAATTTAAAAAAATTATCGCACACGGGTCGTCGTTAATATATTTCACTCGAGCGCACGTCCACGGTCGGTCGGTCGGGGTATTCGCAGCGGGTTGTTGAACGCCGAGTGGCTCCACGGCGTGACTGACGCAGCGGGTAAACAGACCGGGTCGTGCGCGCCTCGCGGCCACCGTGACTCCGCCCACCGAACGCGGGCCCGGCCAATCGGTGGACGTGCGGGGCCGGCGGTCCGAGGCGCGCGCGCGCGTCTCGCCGGTAGTCATCGGCGGGCCGCGGTGGCGACCGAGTTTTCATTCTCTCTCGCTCGGTCGCTCGCTCGCTTCCACTCGTTACGCGCGCCGTGTCCGTGGGTGCCTACTGCTTATACCTCTACCCGACTACCGCCGCTGGCGCATATACCGCGGTCGCGGTACAATAATAATGATATATAAATGATGATAATGCGCGCGCTCCACCGACGACGGCCTCCTACCGTATAATTAAATATAATATTGTGTAGAAAAACAGCACCACCTCGGTCGCGCGATTATCGTCGTTTTCACGCAAATATAAAATTATAATATACGACTCGCTACGACATAATATTATTACTATATTACCTGTACCTATATTGTGATTTGTAATACTCCCACTATGCACGCTGTAATACCTATTCAAAATGTTTATGACAAATTTAGATCACTAGCTGTCTCCGTGCCTATATGTTATAAATTATAATAATTAATATATATATAATGTTTTATTAGTGAGCAAGTCATTGGTACCTATATATTATGATATATTTTCAGGAATATATGTAGGTACCTAAATTAGTTAAAGAATGGGATTGGAATGTTTATAGAAGGGCACTTATTTAATAAAAAAGTAAACTATACTCTTTTTCACGAGAGAAAGGTAGCGGCGGCCGACCAAAACGGGTCCGCCGCCGCGCATCCCCCACCAACTATCAGTGGTAAGCGTGATCACGTGGTCGTTCACGCACCAATCGAATCATTTTACATGCGCGAAACGGTACCGTTCTCTCGTGAAATAGAGTATACCTATTATAGCTGAATAGTTATTATTTTTGTGAATGACTCATTTACAGTTCTGGAATAACTCGTGTTTTTAATATATTTTTGAACTGCCCTTCCTATTTTTTTTAAACAATTTGACCTAAACGTAGGTATATATTAAAATTTGTATTATTGTGGGTATATTAATTATTATTATGATTGAAACATGTGTGCTCTGCAAAAATAAACATAATAAGATATAAGCGGGGACGCGGGGTGACATTTCAAAACGTAGGTACCTACTATTTCCATTTTACAATTTTTTGAGAAATCACGATTTTCTATTTTTAATCTCCAGTTAGTACGTATAATCTATGTATTTAACTCAATTATATTCCCTATCTTCATACTATGGGAAATAGTACAATATGGCCTACTTTGGAAATAGTACGTTTTGAACAATTTGAGGAATTAGTACGTTTCGCATCAATTTATGAAATAAACAAACTATTTAACATGGGAAATACTACGTTTTGACATAATTTTGGAAATAGTATATTTATAAATAGGTATACCTAGACAAATTTTTCCTTTGGAAATAATGCATTTTGCGTCCTTAATCTAAGTACCTAACCTAATAACTCTCATAATATATCGTCATGATATTGTAGCCAATTTTTTGGTACCTAAGTTATCTGTAAGTTTATAACTGTATAGAATATTGATACTTATATAAACATCATAATTAATATCTATGAACCTTAAAATTAAAAATACCCACTAAATAATAGTTTTAATACCTACCTCTGAATTTTCATTTTGGGCGATTTTCAATTATATCAAAAATAATTATTTAAAGAGAATAATGATTAAAGTCCTTGAGTAGGTACCTATTTTACGTATATATACCTACCTATAATATATTCATGATATGTAGGTATAATTAGAGGCGCATGCAATGCATTAGTGATTGGTATATCCACCCGTACTTAACTTTACTCGTTAAAAGTTAAGTAAATAAATACGCGTATATATTATGCCTTATTTATATAGGTAAGTTGGATGAATTTACTATGGATAAAATATAAACCTAATCCTATTATACCTATCCAAAATCTATAGCAACAAGTAACGTCACCACATCTCGGGCTGGAAACCTGGAGGTGATATTATAAGGACTCGTTTCGTTATTTCACAAAACTGCAACTCGCTTACTTGCAGTACCTATATCCACTATATTGAATACCTATATATGCACTCACAGACGTCGTGGCGAAGCGAATAAATTCTTGTAGGTTGTGTAGATCGAGATTTGCGGTCGGATTGGTCGGAATTTTGTCCCACTGCACTAAAACTCAACACTATAGGTCTGTACATAAATATATCTCTACACACTGGCGCGATAAACGATTATATTAAACCTATTTTTGACGAGTGATACGCAGAACGCTGCAGCGGTATGGCACGACACACACGTAACTCAGTATACCTACCCATAGCAGGAGCATCGAACAAAATATATTTGTATAATATTATAACATTTAACATCGCTCGTGCGGCGTGGCCTATACAACATTTTCCGGCCATAATTTCAAACGATGCGTCGATGTTTCAGCCGTCAGTTGTAAGTTTATGCAATACAAATTCGGGATGGCTTGATTGGCTGGGTGTTATGCAATCTATTGATATTTAATAAACGTGGATTTCAATATTTCAAACGATAAAGCTGAGTCTGCACATATAAATATAAGCGTGAACGATAAATTGCGCTATGCTTATATATAGGTATTTCACACCTCGCGCCGTGCCACTTGTATTAACCAAATACTTTTTATGTGCCATTTCAGTCCACGAACTATAAAGTTTAATTAATGCTCCTGTAAATATAAGTATGATATTAGTACCTAAACAAGTATAATATATGATGTTAGATCTCGATGTGTAATTATGTTAATGCGTTTTTAATACACAATTCAATTCTTATCACTATTTCTGAAACTGTTCAATATAGTCTTGTGTAATAGATGTATCATATTATTATGAGTAAATAAGTAAATATATCGATCTATCTCTATATATGTAACTATTAATGTTTGATACATATTATTTAAACTCTTGCTTTCTTTAATTATTTCAACTATAATTTTGTGTAATAATTAAAAATTGTATACTATTCAATTAATATGTCTATGTTGTAATTATTGGGCAACCGTCCGTCTATAAAAAAACAAATAAATGAAAATTTCATTCGACTTCATATGGCACTTCGTTATTAGTATCGATTTCACAATATGATAGATATGTGGGTTGCGAGCCACATCTCGTATCGTTCTCTGAACTATATATTATTATGTCAAAACTGCAGTACACAAATTATAATAAGTTATCAGTTTTTCGTTTATGCATATAACACCCTATGACAGAAATTCCCAAATTTCGGGTCGCAATCATATGTTTGGTGATTTACGGAATGATATAAAAGATTACTTTATTTTTTATAATATAGGTACCTAATACCTATATAACATATTTAATATTAGATTAGTGATTATAGTGATTACTGATTACTGTTAAATATAATACCTATAATATATTATACAATATAAAATATATATTTTATATAATACTGTATTTTCGGTGTAACTATATATATTGTACTTACATTTATTACTGCTTTGTTGTAAATGCAGTTTAGTATTCCCATGTGATTATTAAATTGTTTTATCACACGAGGGTACCTATACCAGCAGTGGATGTGTCATCACAACGTTGTCTCCTGGCCTCCTCAACACATACGCATATTTGATTAAAATATGGTTTTCTATTGCCACGGTACATAAAATTGAAATATATTCTTGATATTTAGTGGTTATGATTAAATATGTCTTAGAAATAATAATAAAATTAGATTTTTGCTTTTCATATCAAAATATTGTGCATGTCTGGAAGTAATACATTTAATGATTAGAATCCGAATAATTAATGAGAATACCAATATTGGATATCATTTAATAAAAGTATAATATTAGTGAGACCCAAATGTGGTTCTCGGGGCAATGTAAAACACATTTTACCGATATTGGTGACATCGGAAAAAACTGTAAAAACCCGCATGGCACTCAACGCCCCAACCTGTTATAAATTGTACTAAATTATATGCGATTATATAGTTTAATGAGTTGTATTAAAATTTAAGATACGCGTTTGGAAACCGGAAATTTAGCACACTCACAGTGCGAACTTATATCTAACTCCTTTAACTCCTATGCACAATTTTTATTTTCAACATTAACATTTATTAATAGTCAGTAAACTATGGTATATTTATTCCCTAGACAAAAATTTTTAAAATTTTGTTGCTATAGGCAGCTATACATATATATAGCCATATATTATAATATATATAATAGGGTTTGAAATATATATTATGGGTTTCTGAATCACTGTATAATATTATTTCTGTTTTTTTGTTACAACGAACAATCTAAATACGAATAATTAATTATATTCTAACAGTTATAACACACTTTCTTTATAATATAATATCAATACCAGTGTATTTATATATAATCTATATTACGACCATGTCGATTATCACTGCAGTATACAGAATGCATATCATCCGAAGTTGAGCTGATTC